CCCCAAAACCCCAAAACCCCAAAACCCCAAAACCCCAAAACCCCAAAACCCCTTTATGACAAAATTGTATTGAACACAATTAACCACGAAATTGATAATTAAATGGGTGGTCGACTCTTTCAAAAAGTCTATTGATTTGTCAAAATTTTAAGGATTTCCAGAAAAATCCTGAGCAAATCTGAAGAGTTGTGCAGCGATTGGATTTGAAGCAAACTCTTCTTGCGAAAGAATCTCCATTGAAAGATCGAAAATAGAGGATAAACAAGATGGTGCTGAGGAAATCTCCTCGCCACTTGTTTGGGTAGATTGAAACCTCTTCTTCAGTTTCTTCTTGGACGTATCTTTTCTAAAAGCAAGCATTTTCTCTAGCTTCTTGCAATATTTCTCTTCATAGTCCTCTTCTCTCAAAGCTTTAATAATAGATTTTCACTTTGGGATTGGGAATCAGAGCATACAGTAGCCTGTAAATGATTCCAAGAGGTTAAATTCATCAAGATGAATTAGTGACATAAAAGAAATATAGCTTTCTAAAAAGCTAAAGATATAAGAGTCCATCTTTGAACTCTTGTATTTGCTCATAGAAGAACACTTCTTGACCAAGTCATGAGGAATGTCATAGATACATCGATAGAACATCGTAGGAATGCTATCGCTTCTTGATTCTTTCTTCTTCAAGACATTCTTAATTTTCGAGGCCAACAACTCTTTGATTAGATTCCTGATTTGGGTAGTTGTTCTATAGGGATTCTTCCTCTTCCTACCCTTACTCCTATCAGCAAAACTTCCTCTATCGATTTCTGATTGCCTTTCTTTCAAAAAATGAAAAGTGCTCTTAACAAATTCTGAGAAAATGTTATTTTCTTTTTCATCAATCTGAGATTTAGTAGAATCTTCAGGTAAATATGGAGGTGTTCTGACAGGCACTAGGGAGTAATTTTCATTAGAAATTTTGTCTCCAAACTTTTCCTCTTCATAAGGATCACTGAGCACAAGTTCCTCTTCTGAAGATAATATCAATGCATTTTGCTCTATATTGTCGGCAGAATTGTGTCAGGGTAGAAAAGATGTTTCACCCGAATCTTGCCAAAGCCCATCGTTATGTAAGAAAGTTGCATCAAGTGTAGAAAAATCTAATTGGAGCAATCTCTCCATTTCAGCTACTCCTTTCTCCCATAGCCTTCCATTACCAGTTTCTTCTTTTCTGGTAACATCAATGTACCAACCTTCAGTAATTGGCTCATCTTTATTCATCTTAAATAATAATTATAAATGCTGATTTAACCACAATTTAAATTCATTGTTATGGGGTTTTGGGGTTTTGGGGTTTTGGGGTTTTGGGGTTTTGGGGTTTTGGGG